TGGCCAGGCTGGAAACTCTCCCCACAAAAAGCTAAGGAGGCCCCCAACGTGGTGAGAGAAAGGGGAGGCAAAGCAGAGCCCCTTCTCAGTGCCCTTCAGACTCAGCTGACACACATCAGGCCCACCTCCGTCCCCTGTTCTGAGGAGCGCTGGGTGAGAAATGCCATCCACTGCACTTCCAGCGACCAGACCCATGACTCACCTGACCTGCCCTGGTGTGGTGTGGTGAGGGGGAATGCTGACCTGGTGAATTCCAGGGCTTATTATCACCTCTGCAAAGAGCAGAGGAAACCAGGCCAGGAGGGCAGGCGTGCAGCCTTGCCAAGTCACTTTCTTTCTGCAGGATGTCCTGTCTCCTCCACGGCCATAGAGAACAACATTTGGTACCTTTAAAGAAAAGCCTCTGAATCCCCATAGCCTGATCTCCAATCCTACTCCAAGTCGAGTTTCCAATTACACTTTCCTCACATCCCTGCAGACTAATCCTTTGGTCCTTAATAAAATCATGCTCTGTGGGGGTCTAGAAGCCGGAATAAAATGATACCAGTATCTTCTTATTAAACCGAAAACACTGCCCCACTCTTCTATTTCTCTTCTTTCATGAATTCAAAGTGGCCCCGGCCAGAAAATATGAGATGCCTTTCTTAGTATACTTCAGTTTTGCTGGGGTAAGCAGGGAGGCTCCAAAATGCTAGGACCCCCTCACCCAACTACACTAAAGTGTCCTTTTATGGAAAGAAGCTTTGTGACAGCACCAAGACTCAAAGGGCCTTGGCCCATCCTGAAACTAAGGATGCTCTCAGCTGTAAGAACCTTCCTCCCACTGGATTCCTGGCTGAATCATCACTCTTTGTTTCATGTCCTTTGAATACACACAATTGATCTGCTCTTACTAAGACACCAGCATTGTGATCCCCCTCCGCTTCTGCTACCCTTTCAATGAACTGAGACCCTCACCTGCAGAATGCGAGTCTCTCAGCTCAGCCTCCGCCCAGCTAGGCAGGACCCTCTTCACCTAGCCAAGGAGCTCCAAAGTCTTCTAGAAGAATCTTGCGCAAGCACTTGCAGAATTTCTCCATGCCCGCAGTCTAGGCCTTTATGAATTTCTTAATGAGGTCTCCTGAGACCACAGGAACAGTGAAAGTCTTATGCTGCAGGGGTGTGGAGGGAGGTGCAGGAGGCTGGAAAGGGGATGGAAGGAGAAAGCTCGCCTAACTATTAATATCTTGTACCCTTTACACTGGAGCACTGTTTTAGTTTCAAAACACTCTGTTCCTGGATGAGTACTGCTTTATTTTTGAGTGCCTCCGTTATTTAAGAATAATTTAAAAAAAAAAAAAAAAAATCTTTAAAAATTAGTGATTTGGCTTACACTGATGAGAGATCTTTTTTTTTTTTTTTAAACACAGGAGTTATTACTTACATAAAACTGAATATTTAAAGATGAAATGACCACAAGTTGGGAATTGTGAAAAACAGGAAAATTTTGCTAGGGCCTTGCAAATGTTTTTTTCTGGTCCTATACTGGCGGGGAGAGGGGGATAGATAGAGACACACTATGAAATATGCGGTCTGTTTTCTTCAGGAAGGAACTTGGATGTGCATATACGCGTGCAGACACACACATACCTGTGAAACAGTGTTTTAGATACAAGCATCCGAACGACTGCAGACACGGCGAATAAGGATCTTTCTGAACCACAAGCCTGAGCTTGTGCGGTTCAAGAATTCCACAGGACTCTGTACAAAGCCCATAGGGACCGAGTTCTGTCTCTGCCATCACTAACATCTGGCCAAAGCTTCAGTGTGATTCCTGTGCTCTTACCTGCTCTTCTCATTTGGAAAAGCATAGGTTTGAAGCGCTCCTTCCTGCTGCCTCACAAAATGCTTCTCCTTCAGACCAGTAAGCTCCTTACCGTAAGGAGTGTTAACATGCACACCTGGGCCACCTTCCCAGGGAACTGCTGCCCTGATGCTCCAGAACGCCTGGGGTTCCTGGGGTTCCGTTAGCTCACCAGAACCACAAGGATTTGGGGGGGCAGGAGTTGGTGGAGTGGCAGGAGACAGGACCAGGGCGGCCTTTCCTTTCAGGTTTAGAGGGGGAGGGAAGACAGGGGATCTGGGAGAGAGAACTGCAGAGAGAAAGAGGAAGTCTTTGTTCTAGCTCTTTGGATGAGCATTAGAGCGGAGTTAAATTGTCAGCTAATGAGATTTCCTAACCACGTGCTCTCTTTCAAGTCTAGGCCCCCAACTGATTTGTTCCCCAGACAGCAGCAGGGGGCAAGGCTGCCTCTAGCGTCCCTAAGGGCCAGAGAATTCCCAGAACAAGTGCAGACAGGACTGGAATTATTTCTGGGAATGGAGCTCAAAGTTGGCCACCAAATACACTGACATCTCCCAATAACACTACAGGCTCCACAGCCTGCAAGGATCGGCCTCCACTTGGGGTGACGGAGGCAGGTCCAGGGAGGCAGAGGCATAGAGGGAGTATCTCTGTGGGCTTCTGTTACCACTGGACAGACTACAAGTCCCTCTCCTAGTTTTTGTTTTTGTTTGTTTGTTTGTGTATTTTGGCCAGTAAAGGCCTCTAGAGTCTATATTCAAAGGATATGTTATCAGACCCGGCTCGGTAATTTGCCCCAACGGGCAAAGGGGTGCTGAAACAAGCATTTTTTCTTTTTCAATAACATCTTATTCTGTAGGCGAGCCTGAGATTGTCTTTTTTAAACTATTTATCTGATTATGGGTTGTTGAGTTTTTCATGCTTTTTTTTTTCCTATACGAAAGTGGCTCTCTTTGCACTGCAGAGCTGAGAAAAAACAAGTCAAAACACATTGACAGCATTTTGAAGCTATTCAGTGAAATCAATTATCTTCTACCTTCTCTAGTCAACAGCTTCCTCCTTAGGTTTATTTCTCCTCTATTCAATGATAATTACTTAGCAACTTCCGTGTTTACCACTCAAAGACAATCTCCCTGGAGGAGTTCTTTACCACTGGGTACAAAAGAGCATATTCTAGAAACCAGAGATTTACCAAACTTCTGCTACAAGGCACAGCTCAGATTTCACTTCTACCAGGAAGTGTTCCCTCCTGGCCTCCAGGTATCTCTTTGTTCAAACCTCCCTCCATCCGGGCATTAATCACTTTGCACAGCGGCTATTGGTTCTCCGGCAACTGCTTCCCACCTGGCGGACTTTTCCTCCTCCACCCAGGCCTGGGCCTCAGCATGGCCTTAGGGAAGAAGGAAGAAGAAACAACTAAAACCTAAAGGGAATTCAAACAGAAAAAGGATCTGTAAGCGATTAGTTAAGTACAGTATAGTTCAACCTGAGCCCTGTTTGGAGCTGAAAACAGCACTCCTGAACGCTTTTTAAATAAAACAGGAGCTGGGAGAGTGGAGAACTGCAGAAAGGGGAAGAGACATGGGCATCCTCTACAATAAGAGGACCTCTGACAGGAAAACCACGTTATTCCAAAGAGGTTCATATGTGGCAGGCACTGTCCTAAGCAGCTAATTTATATTGTCGTTTTAAACCCCACCTCCCCACCCCCAGATGGGAATACTCATACCCACTTTCCAGACTCGGAAATTGAGAGGCAGGGAGATTAAACAGCTCTGCCTGGATCACCCAGTTTGTAAGTGACACTGAGCAGGTATTGGAACTTGGGTTTGACCTCAGCGCCCAAGCTCTCAGCCTCTATTCCAACTCAAGCAAAGTGTGAGCCAAGTCAGCACACGTGGGTAACCCGATCCGGACCGCTCAGACTCAGCGGAGCCCCAGCCGCTCTGCGGGGCCGCGTGGGTACCACCTAAGCGGACACGGATTGGCCAGCGTCCCCAAGGGCTCGCGCGCGTCCTTCAGGACTTGCCAGCACTCAGGAAAAGGCAGACTCGGATCGACCTGGACTAGTCAGGCAGCAAGGCTAGAGGATGCTACTGGAAAAGAGATGAACTTGGCTTGGTCTTCCCCACGACAGCCGCCAATCTGAGAGGGACCCGGGCCGGGACACGGCGCCTCTGGGTGCAAGGAGACTGGGCGCGAAGGCGCCGCCTGGGTGTCTTTTCCCTGCAGCATCTGGCCAGGAGGTCGGGGGAGGAGGCGTCTCCTGACAGCACGCACCAACTTCTCCAGGCTCGGAGGGGGCGCGCAGCAGCGGCCGGGGCCCGGGGGAGCACAGCGCGCAGCTCTCGCCCAATGACGAGGTCTGTAAACAAAAGCGGGCCCCACACGGGTCCCCCGCGGGGCCGTAAGCCGCACAGCGGCTTCAGAGCCACCGAACCCGTGAGAGGGCGAGGCAGGATCTGGATCGAGCGCGGGGACCCAACACACAGCCCCCTGGGACCCCACGCCCTGACCAGTCATTGTCTGCGCGCCCGGAGAATGCCGCTTTAAATGCCTCCTCCCAGATCACCCTTGGGTCCCCGGCCCTGTGTGCCGACCCCCGGACAGTGCTCCTCGTGTGTCCGGCTGCGAGCGCGGCACGGATCGCCAAGGCGAGCGCCCAGGCAGCGTTGCCGAAAACCCAGGCCTGGAGGTGCCCAAGTCAGGGACAGAGACACACACAGACACGCACGCACACGCACGCCCTCCCCGAAGTTGATAAAAATCAGCCGACAAATACAAAGTGCCGCTGCCGCTGCCAGTCGGCGCTGACCTCCTGCTACCGGGAAGACTGAATGCTAAAGCCTGGACACTGTCACTTCCATTCGGCGCCCGACACCTGGGCGCCGCCGGCTCGTCTCCCTCCTTACCGTTCCAGCGAGAGATGTCGCCTCTTGCCTCCTCTCGCCAGCTCCCCACCTCCCGTGTGTGAACACGAAAACAATACGAGTAAAGCCCAATCAGGGGGAGCTAGGACCCGCCGGGAGCCCTAGTGTGCGGGAGACGGGGGTCGGGATGTGCCCGTCACGGGTAGAGTAGCCGCGAGCATCCTCACCGCGGTCCTTCGAGGTGGCTCCGGCCAGCCGTCGCGCGCCCCGAGGCCCGCGGTACTCACCCGCAACGCTCGTCCCGGATCTCCGGGACGGGGACAATGCGGGAACGCCGAAATTCCCGGGCTGCGGGTACCGAGGCGAAAGCCGTGCTGCAGAGCTGCGCGCCGGTCGGCGGCGGCGCTGCTGGGCTTCGCCGCGCTCGGGCCCGCTCGCCGTCTGCCAATGGGAGCTGTCAGGCGGCCTCCGCTGGCGGCCTCGGGGGCGGGGCCAAGAGAGGCCGTGGGAAACCGCGCTCTGATTGGACCGCTTGACAATCGCTCCGCCTCCGACTGGCCAATCAGAAACAGCAGATACAGGAGCGGGGCGTTCGGAGTTGGCCTGGAGAGTGACAACAGCAGCACGCTGGGTACCCGAGCTGCTTCGGTCCCCTGTGCGCTGCTAGAGGGATGTGGGCGCCGCGCACTCCTGGGCTGCCTTCCCACAAGGCTCCGGCGGTGCGGCCCGGGGAGGGCGAGGGAAGGCAGAGGAGGCGCGGCTGGCCAGAGAACGGCGAGGGAGCCCCTAACAAAGCAGCTTTGGGAGGGCCGAATGGCCTCCGCCTCCTCCAGCAATAGGCCTGCGAAGCTGCCTGTCACCCTGCATAGGTGGAGGTGGCCAATGACGTACAAAGAAGGAGCTCGAGTTGGCGCGCGCGCGCGCGGCTCGACATCAGTGGGATTGGTCGAAGGTAAAGGATTTTCCTGCCACCTAAGGCAGAAAAGAAAGGGGAACGGAAGCGGAGGAGGGAAGAGCCGAAAAACGTACCTGTGACACGTGGTCTGGCTTGGGAGGCGTGTGCCTGGCTCTAGGGGGAGACAAGAACTTTTTTACGAGAGGAAAGAGACCCTAATGCAATCCCCCTTGTGGATGCTGGGGGATGTTAGTGCTAGCCAGGCTCCAGGTAGAACACGGTAGCCTTACCTGAATCCTGGAGAGACCAGTATTCACCGGGTTAACTCACCTTGCCAGCAAGTAAAGTTGAACTCATAGCTTGGGCGCAGACCTCACATTCATCTTACTGGGCAGAGTACGTGACTCTGGCAAGGTTCACACAGACCTCCCGGTCGCCCCTGTAAAATCCAGAAACGATGTTTGCCCTTCGCCTTTCGCGAGGTGGCGAGGGACACGGAAACTCGGATGCTGACATAAAGCTCTTCCCCACACCCAGCCAGCGATTCCCCCTCACCCAAGAGCTTGGGACTTCAACATTTAGAAAAAAGGCGGGGATGGATATTCATTACAACCTGATTCGGTGGACCCGTTCACCCCCGAGAGGGTAGGAAGGCTTGAGCTCCTGGGGTTATCTGGTTGAAAACAAAAGGAAACTCAAAACTAATTGCCTGTGTCACAGAGAGTAAATCTAAACTGGAAAACTAAGTATCCTTGACTTCTCCTTCCGCCTTCCCCCCTCTATTCTTGCCTAACTCCCAAATCCATGCCCTTTCCCCATCCTCTCACCTGGAGGTCTTGACATCAAAGACCTCCCATGTCTTTCAACTCCAGGCCTTGCCTCCTGAAATCGACTGTACCTTTTGCCTAGTCATCCTTCTAAACAGAAAAATATTTTGCTGTCTCACCTCTGGGTCTCTTCCCTTTGCCCAGAACATCCCAACCCCTAAACTTTCCCTTCACATGACTAATTTCCTACCCATTCTTCAGAAACCAGCTTCGCAGTCAATGCATTCACACAGTAGACGGTTTGCTGAACTACAACGGTGCAGCAAATAGTCTTGTAGACACTGGAAACTTCCTGTGTCAAGTTTAGATACCAGCATCACCCACCCTCAATACTCTCACCGACCCCCGTATTACATGAGGCTGAAACTGCCATTTAATTATGTCCTCCGTTCCATCCAGAATTCATCTATCTTGTCCTCTGCTCTATCCCAGTACCTAACACAGTAGTTGGTATATTTGGGGCACTCAGAAATATTTAATCAATGAGTTCTAGAGGAGCTGTAATTAGAGGTAAGAGCTTTGAAAAGACTAGAAGTACTTCCAAAACATAGGTTTGAGAAGAATGATTAGGATAAGTCTTAGAGTGATGTGTCTACCAGGTCCCATGGTGGGTGTTGCAGAGGTTTTTGAGTGAGAGATTTTCCAGAAGATACCTTTTCAAAAAACTCTCTTCATCTCAGCCAATACCTTGTCCAAGCTTCTAAGTGGAGAGTCATTCCTTTGTGAAGCTTTTCATCCCAGAAGAAAGAACAATTTCTTAACCTGTTAAAAGCCACTATCTTGGAAAGGGAATATATACATGGAAATGAGGAGAGGGCTTTTCCAAGGGGTGCTCAAAAGTGCACTTGGCCATGCTCTGGGGCTAGGCTGCCTAGTTTCAAATAATAGCCCTGTCATTTTCTAGCTGTGACCTTGGGCAAGTTACTTCAAACCTCTGTGCCTCGATTTCCTCATCTGTGTAATCAAGATGATAATAGTGCCTGCTGCATAGGGTTGGTATGAGGATGAATGACTTAATATTAGTAATGTGCTTAGACAAATGCCCGGCATATAGTAACATTGAATAGTGTTTATAAAATAAATAAACATCTTCCACTGGGGTCATGGGTAGTGGGACCTGCCGAGGCCTCCTGTGTTTGCAGCAGGTTACTAACGGCCTTCCTGGAAGTGAGTATGGAGTACAATTTACTCAAACAACATGGCAGTTAAGAGCACTGACCCCTACATAGTCAAAAATTTACATATAACTTTTGACTCCCCCAAAACTATTAATAGCTTTCTGTTGACCGGGAAGCCTTACCAATAACATAAACAGTTGATTAACATGTATTTTGTATGTTATACGTATTGTATACTGTACCATTACAATAAAGTAAGCTAGAGGAAAGAAACAATTAAGAAAATCATAATGAAAATACATTTATAGTACTATACATATTTACTGAAAAAATATGTGGACCCATGCAGTTCAGCTCAAACCTGTGTTGTTCAAGGGTCAGCTATAATTAGATGTCCTCTCTGCCTCACTCAGCCACTGCCATCATGCCCCCCACCCCATTAAGGAGGTAACATCATTGCAAGGTGAACTTCAGGGTGAACCAGAATGGCCATCTGATTGCCTCGTGCATAGCTCTCTGAGCTCCTAAGAAATCCTAAAAGCAGTTAAGAAACAGAACCGGTTCTAGACTGGCTGGTTTGAATCCAGACTCCACCACTTCCCAGCTCTGGAGCCTTAGGGTGGGTTACTTAATCTTTCATAAGCCTCACTTTCTCATTCTGTCAAATAGGAGTAATACCACCTAACCCATAAGGATGTTGAGGATTAAAAAGAGGTCAGACACAACACAGAGTATGCACTCATAAAAGCAGGCATTTGAGCTGTGCTAAGTTAGCTAAACTCTCTGAACCACAGTTTCCTCATCTTTAAAATGGGATAACAATGTTTCAACATGCAGTTGAAAACTCTGAATGAGAAGATATAAGAGAAATGCTTAGCCCTGCCCATCAAGAGGAAATGGATGCACAGGAAACCACCATTAGGACTCTTTCCATGACATCACACCCCTCACGCCCCACGTACATCAACGAGTCAGGACTTTGCCTCTCAGAATCTGCTCAGGGCTGACTTTGGGAGCGTTGTTCCCAAAATCATGGTGCTACCACTAAGGGTAATGGAATTAAGCTGATCCTGCCTTCGGGTACATTTCTTGACCTCGAAACCTGAAAAGCTTTGCAGGCTTCTGTGCTGCTGCTTGTCTGCTCTGCACAGTATGCTGCTGCTTCACACCACAGTGAAGCGAAAGGGGCATTTCGATTAAAACACAAACAAATGCCATCTGGCAGAGTCTTCTGGCATCCCTTCTCCTGAGGGCACTGCTGACATCTAAAGAGAGCATAGCATTTGGCATTAAAGAAAAACTGGAGTGGTCAAAGGCAGAATTAAGGGTTTAAGACAAAAGAACCAGCAGAAATTACATTTCTGGCACGTGACCTCGACTTCAACTATGAGTCATCATCTTCTCCACCAGTCACTGAAAGCCTCACTGAATATGACCCTGGCTAAGTCACAACCAACAGCCCTCCCTAGTGAGGTGACACCACAGAGATGAGCCCACACCCTCCACTCTAGGCAGCTCTGCCTTGGCCTGCTCTTCCTCTGAACAGATGCTCCCGAACGGCAGGGCTGTGGTCTGTTTGGTTCACTGCTGTAACCCTAGTGTGGAGAACAGGGCCTGGCACCCAGTACCTGCACAGCAAGCATTGATGGAATGAACCAAGTTTAGTCTTTTACGTTCCCTACCAAAAGGACTTTGGCACTTATTTTCTGTCACGTATTTGTAGATGCCCTCTTTTAAGAAAGATTATGAGGTAGCTAATAAAAAAAAAAAAATCTCTGGCAGGGCTTTGCTCATAACAGAGAGGGTAGCACTGGTGTCGTTTTGTCTCCAACAAAATTTAGGTTCCTTGAGGTCACGCTTTACTGTCCTGGAAGTTAAAAACTGTGAGTGCAATAAATATTTGCTGCAGAAGCACTGGATATCACTGACTTAGGAACCCACCAGGAAAGAAAGTTTGATTTTTTTTAAAGCAGCTGTTGATGAGTTTGCTCTGATTCATCCTCAATCTCTTGCCAAGACCCCTCCACCCTATTAATCCCCCCAAGAATTAGTAGACAGTCTGGGCTCAGATGTGGACTGAGAAAAGTCTAGTTAGTCATATCGTACCATCAGGGACCTCTGTTTTTTACCTTTCTGAGCTTTTCTCTAACCAATCGGCCAGGTCATGGATGACTACCAATTTCCCGGCAGTAGGTTCAGAGAAGATGATTTTATTCTGAAGTCCACAGAGCTTTGCTATAGATTCTGAGAAACAGCTGGCAGACCACTTGAAAACCTAACATGGCCCGTGGGTTCCAAGGGCTCTTCCCCACACCCCATCCCCATCTACAGTGGACAGACTGTCTTAGTAGATAGCACTCTAGCCACTGCAATGGGATTTCAAAGTGACACAAACTGGTTTAATTTCTAAATATGTGGAATGACAAATATAATGGATGATGAACACATTATTTCATTGAAAGTGGTATGGTTTTTAAAACTACCTTGTCGGAAAGAAAGAAGGAGGAGAGAGAAGGAGGGAGGGAAGAGAGAAAGAAAGGCAGAAAGGGAGAAAGGAAGGAAGAAAGGGAAGGAAGGAAGGAAGGAAGGAAGGAAGGAAGGAAGGAAGGAAGGAAAAGAAAAGAACAAGAAAAAGAAAAGAGAAGAGGAGGAAGAAAGAAAAAAGAAGAAGGAAGGAAAGAAAGAGAAAGAGAAAGGGGGGAAAAAAGGAAGAGAAGGAGGAAGAAAAAAGAGGCACAAATTCAAACCTCAGCATTTCCATCAGGATCTTTGACTCTGCCTGTCTCCTGAGCTAAATCTCCTCTGTTTCTACCATATTGTTTCCAGCTCTGCATACTTTGTCCTCCTTCCCCCACAGCCAGGACCAGCTTCATGGACATATGACCTGTGCAATTCCACAGGGTCCCACACTCAGAAAGGCCCCAAACCAGGTTTAATGTGCTGCTATCACTATCTTGAACAAGGATCCTGCATTTTCATTTTGCTCTGGGCCCCACTCCAGGTGTCTCATCGTTGGTCCTCCTTGCTCCCCAGTGTGTACCTTTCGCATAGCAGGCACTCAGTATAACTACGTTAAGGGGTTTGCCATGAATATGAAGTATTTGTCCTTTATATGC